AACGTTTCAATTCTATTTTGCTTGAATAATTCCAGAGCGATGGCGATTGAATAATGAGTAATGATGAAGGTTTTCCTTGTAATTCTAGGCCGAATTTGATGCAGTCGCATTGGTTTTCAACCTCATGTGCGTAGTTTGTGCCACGTATTGGCAATCTTTCTATTGCATCTTTGCGAATATGGTCACTGATAAAATCGCAGATATTGGCTTTTCGGCTTACGATTCGGAATGGTACGCTTTTCCATTGAAGCTTCAGAAATACAACATCGTGATGATTGCACGCTCCCAGGAGCAAATTAATTTTACTGGATTGAACTTGATGTATTGTACATTGGAATATTTTGGCAAGGTAAAAGTTTGTAGAGTTTCTTTAGTATTAACTTTTCACATTCAATACTATTAACCAGCGCATACCGTAACTTAGCTAAGTTAATCTTAGCAACATCCAAGTCTTAGGTCCAAGCTCCGCTTTTTCTCCCCTTTTTTCGTTTAATATCAACACATAGCAAGAAAAACTAAGGGTTAGATTTAAGACTTGGGTCGATCTTAAAGCTGAGAACTTAGATTTAAATTTATCCAAGCTTAGCTAAGCCGGTATGCCCGGCAGTTAACTTTCTGTATTCATTCCTAAAATTCCTTTCCCAAAATTTCCTTTTTCAGCTGATGTATGCATCTTGGTCGTACTACATTAATTTTCGCAATTTATCTAAACTATGAAAGGCATCCTACAACATAGTATGTATGTATGGAAATATGGACATAGGCACGATAATCAATGATTTCTAATATTTTAATGCTACTTCGGTAGATACAATTGGACGTTTCCAACAACCGATTCATTTTACTGGATTGAACTTGATGTATTGCACATTGGAATATTTTGGTAAAGTAGGAGTGGGCAATAAGCGAATAATATTTTTTATTAATATTTATTGATGCAACAATTATTCACAGTTAACAAAATAAATGTATGAAAATGTAAAAAAAAAAAATAAAAATACATAAATCACATTATTTATAATTTCCACACCCAATCGTCGCTTTTTATTGATGCATGTTTCTCGAGGACGTCATTAAAATTTAAAACTTGTATAAACTACCTAACTTGATAAATTTGAAATATAGGGTACCTACTTGAGTTTTTGCTTTAAAATTTCTGTGCTGAAGATTAAATCGATCAAGTTTAGTTTAGTTTTTGATCATCTTGGGCACAGTGGCTATTAAATGACAAAAGATTATCCAGAATAGCGCCAAGGATTTGGTTGATTTTTATTTAGGATATCTGCTAATTCGTGACATTGAACATGAACATGCATTTGACTCATATAGCTCCTTAAATTAGTTTAAGTTAATGCTAAATAAAAAGAATTACATTTGTGATTCCAAAATCAAAAGTGATTAAGGTGTCGCTTTTCGAAAAAATCTCTAAAAATTCCATTTCACACGGACGGGAAAATGTTTCCAAAATATGTTTTCTTTAAACTAGACTAGTTCTGAAAATTAGTTTTTGTTGTCCACTTGCTATACTTTCCCTATTTAAATTCTCTCCTTAAATGAGCTTGTCGACATGAAGTTTTTCACATCGAACGCAATGCAATCACTATCTTAAATTGGCTGTCAATCAATTGGTTTCGATTTGTTTCCTCCATAATTCAACAGGAAAATATCGATCTGTTATTTTACCCACACGCAACCATATGTATCATTAGCTGATGATTTTACTGACCTCAATTGTTGCGCATTTTATGTGCTCGTGTTCGAAATGGATGCATTCGATAGACCAAAATCATAGCTCATTCAACACAATCAAATGCACGATTATTTTTGCATAACATCACATTTTTGACTTCGATGTGTATAACATTGTTGTGATTGCATACACACCGCATTAAAATGAATAAAAAGTCAATGCCTGAAACGAGCTAATCGCTTGCATAATATGGATTGAAGGAGTGATTGGAAAACGGATGTATGTTAAACAGAAAATGTGCGCAAACATGGCGTTCTGTGTGCGGATGTGTATTAACTACATTTCATTTATAAATGGCAAATACTTGACCCTTTAATGCATTAATTTTTCCCAGGGATGGGAGTACTGGTACTTGGTTGATTTTTGACCATAGATAATAAAAAAAATTTCATAATCCTGGATTCCTCACAGTTAAGTTAGGAAATGCGATTGACATAAATCAGAGAACAATCAAATCCATTGTTTAAAAGTGTCAAAAATATGTCTAATTTTGAAAGGAAATAATTTATTTTGTCAAATTCACGTTTTTGCGCACATTTTTGTCTATAACTCAGAAATCGCTTGATGTAGACGAATAGTGCAAAAGACGAAAAAAACCGACGTACGGTTTACGTTATATTGGCATTCAAATGTTGCCCGTCTAAATGCAGTTGCATGCATTAGAGGGTTAAATGCATAACGAGTCGCCGGTTGCAATTAACGGAATGGTAGTATTGTTATTTTGCAGCGCATTTAAATGGTTTGCATCACTGACGTTAACAAAAAAGGATTATTACACTGTGTGAGTGAGTGTGTTGCTATAGGCGCTGAAATCAATGCCAAGCTTCTTGATGGAAGAACACCGTTTCACTGGTCAGCTTCGAATGATAATTTTCCTGAATTCACAAACTTAAAATCACAAACATTCTTTTCACTTTGATTCAATTAATAGGTACATGGTGCCGACATGGATGCAGAGCCTTGACGGAAACACATCACTACAACAAGCAGCTATGTACAATGTACATGGTAATTATTTGAATCTTGCTTTTACTAAATAGCAAAAATATGCTCAGAACAGCCAATTTTCGGGCTGTGTAGCCGCTAACACCATTTATTGGTTGCATTAATATGTATATGTACAATGTATACATTGTATTGTAACTAACATTGCCTGTTGAAAACTAGATAACAGTATGTGTTGGACCAAAATCAGCACAATGCGATCCTACGTCAAAAAATATTCGTTCACCGGAGGAATCTCGGTTTGCTTTAAATTTCTCCTAACATTGTACAATGTATAGTCATTTCCATTAATATCTGTTACGAAGAAATGTCAAAGCAAACAATACGAAACATACCCTTGGATGTTATGTATCAATGGAGACGAACAAATGAATTTTCATTACAGATGTCGCTACATCAAGTGAAAAAGTCATTGAATTTGTAAGGAAAAGTGAAGTGCTTTGGCTCAAAAAGGCCTACTTTTTATTCCAAAATGTTCATTTCAAAAATGCACTATGTCGGAAGACATGCGATAGTTGACGTCGAACTATTCAGTGAACAATTCCCGTGCGTGTTCGGATTCTATCAATTTGGGATATTAAGTCCCTGAAACTGCTTTAGGCGAAAAAGTCATTGGCTTTGAGAGAAAAAGTGGAGACTTTGGCACAGAAAGACCTACTTGATCGCATTGCTTCTTCTAGATGTTCATGCATTTTAAACTCATAAACACCGCGGAATTGCTGTCAAGTTGTGCTTAGAATTTGGTCGAAGAAGAAATGATTTTTGCTAGGGGTTGCATGCAACTTGAAATTCATCTAAAATTTCAATATTTCTCTCTTTTTTCTCACATTCTCAGGGATTCACCAAAATCCCTATTATTTCAAAATATTTCAACATTCACCTTGGAAATTATGTTCTGGAAGTGGGTTTTGGTGGATCTTCAGGATGGATCAGACTGGGTTTGACAATACCCTGGTCTATCCTGAGGATCCACTTCCAAACCAGGAGCGGTTTTGAACAATCCTGAGGATCCACCAAAATCCACTTCCAGAATTTTTAGATTCAAAAAATTCTTAGATATTCCCAGTTTATAAATAAAAAGAAGCAATATCTATAGTTTACACATAAAATGGTTATATTTCCAGCTATTCAGTAAAATCTTCGGCCTTCGAGTTTGCGTGGAACCCTTAAGATTTTTGAATCCAAAAACATTGCTTCATGTTTTTTTCATAGCTGAGCGAAATCTGTGGTTTTCAATATTCAAACCGTCTCTATATTCTCAGGAGTGCGTCCCGAAATATGTCAAATGAGTTTTACATCACAGATATTAACCCTCTAATGCATACAACCGCCTCTAGACGGGCAACACCTGTAGAACGTAAACCGTACATCGGATGACATTGCTTCAAAAAGAATTTTTATTCGTCAATGTTCTCTCTTTATTTTTGTTCTTGGCAATATTTGTCTATGTATTGTTATTGTAAAGTTATAAACAAAAATGTGTGCAAAAACAACAATTTGACAAAATAAATTATTCGAACTCGAAATTAGACAAATTTTTGACACTTTTAAACAATGGATTTGATTGTTCTCTGATTTATGTCAATCGCATTTCCTGACTGAACCATGAGGAATCTAGGATTATGAATATTTTTTTAAATATCTATGGCCAAAAATCAATCAAGTACCAGTACTCCCAGCCCTGGGAAAAATTAATGCATTAGAGGGTTAATGGAAATGAGTATACATTAGCAAAATGTTGTTTTGTTTATAGTGAAGACTCGGCAAGGAATAAAGCACATATAGTTCGAAACCAATCCACATCAAACATTTGAATAATTCGACTTACAAATAACATGCGCTAATCTACTTGGAAGCTGAAACTTTAACATAAACACGTTCAAACCCGTCTAAAGTTCATTTTGTTAATTATTCAAAATCCATTTGTTTCTTTCGGTAACGGAAAACATGACTGCAAGAAAAAAACTCAGAAATAAAAGTAAAAATTCTTCCCCCTTTCAGTTTTATTTTTATTTCTATTTAATTTCGTTTGGTTCTATTCAAAAACGGAGTCTAAATCTAAATTGTTGCTAACTAATTGAATTATTTGTATTCAAAAATATTAAATAATTTTGAACGCTTGCATTGAAAGTCTTTCAATCGTATTACATTTCAAGTTCAATTTGTGTGTAATACCTAATAAATGATTATTATTTTGGAAAAGTGATTTCAAACTCAGCTATCCTTTCAATAAATCTACGGAATGTTACTTTTTCAAACGGTGAACTGTTTTCATGTGTCGATCGGCATGACTTTTCTGGAAAAAGCTTGCTGCACACAATTTGCATCGAATCCGCTCTCCGGTGTGATCTTTTCGCATATGATACATCAACATTTGTTTGGAACGAGAATGCTCTTTGCACAAATGGCATTGGTATTGACGAAAGCCACAGCTAACTTCATGAACCTCTTTTACATCCTCAGTTGCGTATCCTCCGAAGCACTTGGAACATTGGAATGGGAATCGATCGCTGTGTGCTGATGACAAATGCTGATTTAATGTAATCTGTTGGACGAACTGTTTGCTGCAAATTTCACATTCAATCGATCTTTTTGCTCCGTGTTTTGATTGCATGTGCCACTCCAACGAACGCTTGTGAACAGTTTTGTAATAACACTGATTACATGCGAAAAGACTTTGTTGACAGCGCATTTCGTGTGATTGCTTATTGTCTGGAGTGGCAAATCGTCGACAACATTTCGAACAAGCATTCGGCGGTCCATCGATGTGAGACATTGAATGTTGTTGAAGATAAGCATTGCTTGTAAACGACTTGAAACAGATTGAGCGCTCGAACGGCTTATACCCGGTGTGTGTCCGCATATGTCTTTTCAAATGTGATTTGTTGATCGTTCTATATCCACAAGTGTCGCATTCAAATTGCTGGGGACTACATAGCTTTTCGTGATCGATGTTGTCTGATTCTTCTTCGAATCTTTTATAACATTTTGAACAACGAAATTGAGGCTTTGAGTCATGCGTTTTCTTATGACGGTTCAGGATACTTTTCTGTGCAAAGGACTTCGAGCAAACGTCACACTGAAACGGCTTTTCTCCAGTGTGAATTCGCAAGTGTATTTTGAGGTTAGAGTTCTTACTTGCCAAATGATTGCACACATGGCATTTGTGCTTCTTTTGCTTTTTGGCCGCTTGATTCCTGGGAATCGTTTGTTTATTCCGTCTTTTGGAGCTTCCATTCCATTTCTTTTCGCTCCCAAGTGGTTTCGGTTGTTGCACATCGATTGTGTCACCAATTAGCTCTTCGTTGTCATCATCATTGACAGCGTTGTCATTCGATCGCTCACATGATGCCGGGTCCTTTCCTTTGCCCGTCTCTTCTTCTTCTTCTTCGCATTTGATTATTTCATCCTTCACCTCATCGAAGTCATACGCAAAGTCGATCGGTCCTTCGTAATTCACACGATATCTTCCATAATCTCGTGGCCGTGGAATGTTCATGACATCGTCACCGTCATTCGGCTCACCCTTAATCACCGGCTCTTGCTTGACTTCAACCTTTGCACAATTTGACTTGCGCTTACTGCGTCGACCAGAAGCACCTTTGAATGGGTTCATTTTCTGTTGGATTCAGGAGAAATATAGACAAACAAATCAAACATCTGTAAATGAATCGCTTCAATGCACACCACGTGTTTATCGCGTGTGTGGCCAAGAAAAAGTCAACACCAAATCTACAAATCTGTTTTATGCTCTTTTTGATAAATTTTATGAATTCGAATCGACATGTTACTTTTATAATAGAATCACGAAATTCTGGGCCAAAAATTGGAATGAATTTCAAAACATATTCAACACTTACGTCGGTCGATGCCTTTTTTTCTGCTGAAAATTCAATTGATTTTGTTTGCGTATCGTCTTTCAGGATGTCTGCTTCACTCGGTGACTCACTGAACAATGGCGAACTCAGCATATCCTACGTCATTGATATTGCGATGCAAACGCTTGCTATTCGCGTTGGTGACATTTCGTTAAGTTGACAACGTCGCCACATGCACACACTTCATGTCAATTGGTAGCTCTCTTTTGAGCAACTTCGGACTCCGATTCAAAAATGCCCGTTGAATTCATTCGAAATGTTCATTTTACAAATCCAAATTGTTGTTGGACACATTTCGCTCGGAATTATGATCATTTCGCCATCGAATTGAAAATTCGCGATGCAATGTTCAATGGGGGGTAAGCTATACACATTGAAGTAAAGAAATTCTTAATTCGACCGCCAATATTCCTCGTCACTTGTACAAAGTGAATGAATTTGGTAATACTTATCTTGTCATTGACAACAGAACAGGAAGAATGGTCAAAGATCTCAAGCAATGTGAATTCGAAAGGATTGATCGTTCACATTCCTGGACAAATACAGTTAAGCAAAATCAAATTGATGAATTCATTATTCGTTTATGCTGCAAAAGGATGCAGATCGAATTAATTCCGTGGCTTGTAAAATTACGTGAAATGACACAGAATCACTCAAAATCACTCGTTCATCTGTCGAGTATCGTTATCTAATCAGCAATGATTTGAAAGAGAGTCACGTTCGAAGATCGTGTTTCTGTTTGCAATCCAAAATGCAGATGTGTGAGGCTTTTCTGAAGAAGACACAGCAAGAAATGAAGTGTGCAGCAATGATGAACGAATAATATTTAGAAATCAATTGAAATGAAAGAATATTTATATTGAAAATTGGGGGAAACATCGTGCTTTGAAACTGAAACATTATCATAAAAACATACAAACCCAATTAGAATGCGGAGTTGATTTTGCCAATACAAAACATCTTCAAACCATTTTTGTTTCGTTAGCCAAGAGAATTGCTGCAAAAAGAAAGCTCCGAAATAAATGTCAACATTTTTCCGTTTTTTATTTCCAATTTAATTTATTTACGTTTTGTTTCATTCACAAATGGAGCTTAAATCTTAAGCGGCACTGATGGATTGTTTGCAATTAATAAAATCTTAAATGTTATTTGGAAATGATTGCAACTGAAAGTTTCTTCGGTGAATTGAGTTATGAGTTCAATTAAAAGTTAGTGTTCAGACTTGACTACATTTTAATAAATCTACGGAATGGGTGACTTATTTCTTCGTCGAACGGTGAACTTTAATCATGTGTTTATCTGCATCACCTTTCCAGGCAAAGCTTGCTGCACACACTTTGCATTGAATCCGCTCTCCGGTGTGATCTTTTCGCATGTGTGCCTTCAACATGTGTTTTTCTCGCCGATACTTTTTGCACAAATGGCATTGATACCGACGCCAGCCACAGCTATCTTCATGAACCTCTTTTGTTTCTGCGGTCGCGTATCCTCCGAAGCACTTGGAGCATTGGAATGAGAATTGTTCGCTGTGTGTTGATGACAAATGCTGATTTAATTGAATCTGTGTGACGAATTGTTTTCCGCAAATTTGACATTCGATCGATCTTTTTGCTCCGTGTTTTCCTTGCATGTGTAGCTTCAATGAACGCTTGAGAACAGTTTTGTAATGACACTGATTGCATGCAAGAAGACTTAGTTGGCAGTGCGTTTCATGTGATTGCTTCTCTTGGAGAGTGGCAAATCGTCGACCACATTTGGAACAAGCATTTGGCAGTTCAACTTTGTGAGTCATCAAATGTCTTTGAAGTTCAGAATTGGATGTAAACGACTTGAAACAAATTGAGCACTCGAACCTCTTTTCCCCTGTATGAGTGCGCATATGTCTTTCTAAATTCGGTTTTTTTATTGTCAGATATCCGCAAGTGTTGCATTCGAATTGCTGGGGACTGCAGAGCCTTTCATGATCCATTTTAGCTGATTCTTTTCCAAACCCTTGATAACATTTTGAACAACGAAACTGAGGCTTTGGGCCATGCGTTTTCTTATGACGGTTCAAAACATGCTTATGAGCAAAGGACTTCGAACAAAGATCACACTGAAACGGCTTTTCTCCAGAGTGAGTTCGCAAGTGTCTTTTGAGGTTAGACTTCTTACTTGCCAAATGATTGCACACATGACATTTGTGCTTCTTTTGCTTTTTGGCCACTTGATTCCTGGGAATCGTTCTTTTGCTCTGGCTTTTCCATGTCTTATTTCGCTTTTTTCCGTTGCCGGTTGGTTTTGGTGGTTGCACAACATCCAAAGGCTCTTCGTTGTCATCATCATTGGCGTCGGCGCTTTCATTCGATCGTTCACATGGCGTCGAGTCTTTTTCTTTGTCCGTCTCTTTTTCTTCACATTTGAATTCATCTTTGAGCTGATCGAAGTCATTGCCAAAGTCGATCGGCTCTTCGTAATTCGCACGATACCTTCCCTCAACTCTCGGCCGTGGTATGTTCATGACAGCATCGCCTTCGTTTGGCTCTTTCTTAATACCAGGCTCTTGTTTGACTTTAACCATTCCGGACTTTGACTTGCGCTCGCTGCGTCTACCAGAAACACCTTTGAATGGGTTCATTTCCTATTGTATTCAAGGGAGATATTAATAATCAAAATTTACCAAATGAACTAACTCAATGCAAACGACGTGTTTGTCGCGTGTGTGGCTAAGAAAAAGTACCTACTAAAAATGCACAGTCGTATCTTGGGCTTTTTTCGATTATTTTTATTAAAATACTTTTTATTTTGTTTTTTCCACTTGATAATTTCGATATTCTGAGCTGAACATTGAAATAAATGAAAAATATTCAACACTTACGTCCGTCGATGCCTTTTTTTCTGTTGAATGTGAAAATGATTTTTTTCGCGTGTCGTCTTTCAAGATGTCTACCTCACTGTGTAACTCAATGAATATTATCGCAAGCTCAGCACCACAACCAGCGGCATCATTGCTGCGATTCACACACACTCTTTCATTTCTATTGGTGACTTTTATCACACTTGTGTCAATCAGTAGCTCTCTTTTGAGCAACTTTGTAGTCCGATTCAAAAATGTCAGTTAAATTCACGTGAAATTGCATTTCACAAATCCAAATTTTGTTGAACACATTCGAATCGGAATTATGATAATTTTGTTATTCGAATTAAAAATTCGCGATGTCTGAGTAATGTTCAATGAGCAACAGATATTAAAGTAGAGAAATTCTTGATTGAACCCCCAATATTCAACGTCATTTGTACGAAGTGAATGAATTACTAACAAATTTTGTGTCATTGACAACGATACGGAATGGATGATCTGATTGATGAATGAACTATATTGTGGATTTTTTTTGGCATTTTCCACATCACGTCCATCTCAAGTAAAAATTCACATTAAAAAAATCGCGAAAAACGCGAAAAAAACGCGAAATTTGGTGTACAGTCGTGGTTTACCTTGTTTTTCGCGGAACTGATAAGAGATAACGACCTAGCGTCTTATAAAAATTTATAGCGCATGAGGTCCTTTACAACTTAGCTCTAGACAATTATCAGTTATCTCTTATCAGTTTCGTGGAAAACGCGAAAATTGATAAGCAAAAAAACCTTGCTATATGCGCGTGTTTTTGATTTGCGCCTAACTGATAAGAGATAAGACATAGCAGTCTTGAGCAAAATTATAGGAGACTTTGAGTACTACAACTTTGCCGGAGACACCAAGCCTCTATCTCTTATCAGCTTCGCGAAAATCGCGACTGACCGCGGACCATTACTCATTTTCAGTAGATTCGTCCATTTTGGAAGCTATTCAAAAGCATTCAGAAGTGCTCCGACAGATTCAGAAGATTTTCAGATTCATTAATGGTTTCTGTTGGCAATTCAGTAGCAAAATTCACGCTCGGTTACCATACAGAGAGTGGACACTAGACAATGAGATCTCGGCGTCGAGTGCAAAGCAATTTCGGTGTCAATTTGTATGCTTATCGCTCGCTCTCTTTCAAACAATATTGGACACTTTTTTGCTCTAACGTGCCAGGAAATCGAATTGGAGTGTGTACACAATACACACACTGATTGTCGTCCAGAATTCAGCGTGGCCTATACATTTGTGAGCGTCAACGAGTGTTACATACATACACTACACACTCTAAATATATGCCACACTCATTGTCGCTCACAAATGTATGGGTCACACTAATTTCTGAACGACAATCAGTGTGAGCATAACTACAGCATAGCGATTTTATTAGTGTGAATTTTTACTTGAGATGTACTAAATACTTTTGGCAAGGAACAAGTTCATTTGACATTAACACCGCACGATCCAACGTGAAAGTGAGATACTGAATCACATGTGATCATAAAATATGCGCCGACGGGCAACGGAGTTGATCGTTGACATTCGTGGAAAATACACTTGAGCAAAATCAAATTGAATCAAGGCTAATGAAATTGAATTTATGGAAAAGTATGCAAATCGAATTATTATCATTATTTATTTCACCGTCTAATCACAGACAGAATTAATCCTGTGACTTGTAAAACTATTTGAAATGACATTGAACCATTCTGAATCATTCATTTATCTGTCGAATATCATAAACAATGTCTTGAAGAAGAGTCAAGCTAGAAGATCGTGTTTCTTGTGGCAATGCAAAGAGTAGATGTGTGAGATTTGTCTGAAGAAGATACAGGGAGAAATGAAGTGTGCAGCAATGATAAAATTGTCAAATGTGCATGCCTCGCTATCGCGAATGTGATAAATTCATTTCGTTGAGCATTCGTGTTATAAAAGTATGATTGGACTGAATCGTATTGCATTTTCTTGCATTCTTCACATCGAATCAAATGCTTATTGGAAGGAACACGCTTGTTCGAGATGAACGTCGAACGATCGAATGTGAGAGTGATATGCATACATAAATTACATATGAGGATGAATTATATGTCGACTTGCAGCTGACTTATTCGCTGACATTCCCGAAAAATGCTACAGTCCAACTAAAATGGAATTACGGCCAATGAAATGGATTTTCATATGAATCCAAGCTAAAAAAAAGTATGCAAATCGAATTAATTCTGTGGCTTGTACATACATGATAACCCTTCATCACGAATTGAACAAAAAAGTACCCTGAAAGTAAATTCATATCATCACTGTGCAGTTGTGCACTCCAACATCACATACACTAAATTCCTTTGGTGCACACGTATAGCTGTTGTTTTGTTTCATTCCATCTGAATAAATACAAAATTGGTGTGTTGGGCAAAAGCCGTTTTCGAAAATGATTATTCATTTATTGTGCGACGTTTCGCTCTTATTGGGAACATCATCAGGCTGGAGAACAAAAATGAACACAAGAAACAATGAGTAAGTGTTAAAACAATTGACAACAGCCGAAAATAACCAAATTACGAACCAGGTACATCTGAATATAAAATAAAAAAAATGAAAAAAAAATGTTTTCGAACGTATTCCATTTTTTCTATAAATTTCCACAAATTGTATCAGCTACACGTATCTTTCAAAGGAATTTCGTTATTGAGCTTCATTTAGTGTCTGAATATGATAACACTATGCAACAGTAAAAAACAACCACAGAAAATGAAACTCATTTCCAATGTTTTTTGCTCCCACTTAATCCAAATGTGGTCTTAGTTTGTCCTGGCACGTCTAGTTTCCAAGATACGTTCATTGCGGTTTCCGTATCAGATTTGAATTAAGTGGGCCAAAAAAACCTTAGAAATGAGTCTCCTCTTCTTGGGGGAGTTTCGTTTTCAAAATTTGTCGCATAGTGTTATTCGACCTCAGTTCATAAATTCCATTACTGCAGAATACCACAATTCATCAATTATACGTTGCATGGTACGTGTCAGCTAATGGTGTATGAATGGTATAAAATAGGCAGCACCGCATAGGGAAGACCAAACGAATTCAAATGATCTTCTAAAGAAGTACAAGACGGTTCTCTACTCTCATTGTGCAAGAGATTAAAACTCTATTTCGTTGGCAAATTAAAATGAATCTACTACACGGTTGGTTATCGGTGCTATTTATCGTTGAATTTTCGGTAAGTTTTTTCTATTCCTTTATCGTTTTCACTTTTATCCAATAAAAAATGATATTTCTGTAGAACTGAAAGTTAACACGAAATTTCTCTTTCTAGGAACTTCAAGGAAAACGTAAGAAAAATTTTGTTTTCGTACACGCTTTTTATGATTCGAAAAGATTTTTTCAGACTTTTATAATATTCAATTCGAAATTTCAACTTTTTTCTAATGAACAGATGGCTTTTTCTCGCAAGCTCTTCTTAAGGGCGAAGTGATTGAAAACATGTCACAGGCAAAGTTTGTAGCTGGAATTCTTACCCCCTCAAGTAAGTCTGCTTTAGAATAATTTTCATTTTTTTTTTCGTGTGAATTTTTGTCCGAAAAACTCAAATATTCTATCAATTTTGCTAGGGGCTGACCACGTTTTAGAAAATTGAAAATAATATTAGATTTTAGAAAAAAAAATCGAAAAATTATATTATTCACAACATCACAACTGTGACATTTTTCGAACTTTCTCCAGAAACGATTCACTGCAAATGATAACTTTCAATTGAACGCATGAGAACATTCTTGACCTGCGAAAAAAAGTTCGTTCCGAAATGCCTCATACATTCGTATAGCAACAAAAGAGACTCAAGAAAAAAAGTGAGCATAAAAGTGTCCCATGATTATGGGGCACTTTTATTCTCACTTTATTCATGGGACTCTTTTATGCAATACAAATGTATGAGGCGTTTTAGTTGTGCATTTTGACTTGAGGCTTTTTAATGATAATTTTGATAACAAGGAATGCGAATTTCGATGTGGCGATAGCACCAATGGATTGGGCACAATAAATACTGTATCAAATTGGAAAAAAAATTTTTTGCACATAAGTGTGAGCGAAATAGCATAAGTTTTCGACGCTCGAGTTTTTTTCCATATAGGCCAATGCAATTGAATATAATATTATTAAATATTTACGCATAAAAATATCTCGAAAACGGCTGGGTAAATCGGCAAAACGGACCGTGATGTCACTCCCTAAAGGGAGTGTATACACCCGACTGGTTTGATGGCCTAGAATACAAATCCGGTGGAATTTCGGCTGATCCATGGATTCTCTGGATTTGGCCAGATTCCAGTGCTTCCTTTTTTATGTGCATCTGTAAACACATTCTACCTATGTTTTGTTATGAAAGAAATTGAAGTGCTAGAATCAGGTCGAATCCTGAGAATCCATGGATCAGCCCAAATTCCACCGGATTTGTATTCTAGGCCGTCAAACCAGCCGGGTGTTTACACTCCCTTTGGGAGTGACATCACGGTCCGTTTTGCCGATTAACCCAGCCGTTTTCGAGATATTTCCATGTGTACATTTGGCCATAGAAGCCAATGCAATACCAGCGGCGCTCCGAGGTTTTCATACAAACTTCTCATGTTGACGATCGCAATACAGCCGTAAATCGAAAAAAAATTAAAAAAATTTGTTTTCCAATTTGATACAGTATTTATTGTGCCCAATCCATTGGTGCTATCGCCACATCGAAATTCGCATTCCTTGTTATCAAAATTATCATAAAAAAGCCTCAAGTCAAAATGCACAACCAAAACGCCACATACATTTGTATTGCATAAAAGAGTCCCATGAATAAAGTGAGAATAAAAGTGCCCCATAATCATGGGACACTTTTATGCTCACTTTTTTCTTGAGTCTCTTTTGTTGCTATACGAATGTATGAGGCATTTCGGAACGAACTTTTTTTCGCAGGTCAAGAATATTCTCATGCGTTCAATTATGCGTTGTCAGTTTACTGTCAGAAAATTCATCACATTGTGGTGGTCAAAAGTATCGTTCATAGTGGATTATAGATTTAGTCAAATATTTGAGTTAACATACAGATGATATTGAAACGAATTTTGTTGTTTTATGAAAAATTCGCGGTTTCCCCCTAGCAATTTTGTGTGTGTGTGTGTTCATTTTTTCTTCAAATATTATTGCTTGTACTGAGAATGAAATGAATTTATTACGAAATATTTACATGAATACAAAGACCATCCAAATGATGCCAATAGAATAATGATGAGTAGGTGTACCGCATTTATTCTGTCGAAAACGGAAATTATCACGAATGCCCATTGTGTGTATGACGCTCCATATGTTTATGTGGTAGCTGGTACAAAAGTTGTATCGGCTGCAAACCAGAAAATTAAAATCAAAGTCGAAAAAGAGAATATTGCATATCACCGTCATTATAGTCATTTAATTTTTGGTGCATTTGATATTGCCAAAATTACATTGGAAACGCCGTTAGAATTCAGCGATACCGTTGGCAGGATCGAACTCGTGGATGAGGATTACAAATTGAATGACCCATCAGAAGTGGTCACTGCCTATGGATATGGTGTGTTGAACAACATCGGACCATTGATATTGAGGCGTTGCGATGCAAACTATATATCTGTTGTCGAACGAGTCAACACATTTAATCCAAGTCAGACTTTGTACTTTAAAACTGGTGAAGCTAAAAATGATGGCGAAATTATAACACCTGGCGATTCGGGTGGACCAGTCGTTTCAAAAACAAATGGCAAAATCGTGGGCATAATAACGGGGTATAGAAGTAAATAATAAAAATCTTATTACTTATTACTTACATGGTGCGGCTGTTGACACTATATTTTCCTATATTTCGAATTGGCGCGCTGTGTAGTTCCGATTTGAAATGTTAAATTACATTGATGTGCCCTTTGAAATGGGGGGCGCTCGCGTCGCCTCAAATGACTTCGACGTTCAACAGCCGCCACACGATTACTTATTACCGATTTTTCGGTATGCAACATGTCAGATATTGTCAGACGACATAATCTTGAAGAAAAATAAATGCGTTTGACGACATTTGACATGTTTTTTGTATGAAACTTTTCTTCCTAATTATAAGTAATAAGATGGCGGTAATAGTTATTACCGGTCTTATTACAAGTAATAAGTAATAACGAAAATAATAAATATTACCGATTTTTACTTCTATACAATGGGTATAAACGGAACAGAAGGTGGTCGCGGATCGTTCCTTCCAATTACTCTATTCCTTGATTTTATTCATGACCCAAAGGTATCCAATCACAATGCCCATATTCTCAACAACGCAAACCAAATAATTTTTTACATTAATTTCAGAGCGTGAAACTAATTCCACCTCCGCTTACACCTAACGAAGCTAAATTTTTAGCCGATATAACGGTACCTGGAAGTAAGTGTGATTTTTCAAGATTCATAAACATAAATATTCATTCTGAGATGTTTTTTTATTATAGAATTTCTTACTGGTTACAAAGACGATTATGCCGATTCTGACGAAGGTGTTCAACTATTATTTAATGCAATCATTTTGTCAAAAACGGAGATTTTGACCTGTGCGCATAGTGTGCTCGGCGCCCCATATGTCTACGTAATCGTTAATAAACTATCAAGAAATGCGACAAGACTTAAAGTCACTGAAGACCAGATAGAAATTCATGAGAAATACACATTTTCTGGATTCGCATTTAACATTGCCAAGATTACACTGGAAGAACCGTTGGAGTTCAACGATAACGTCGGCAGCATCGATTTGGTAGACAAAGATTACAAAATGAATGACCCGTCCGAAATGGTCACTGTTTATGGTAATATGGTATTGGATGGAATAAAGAGAACGAGACGTTATGATACAAAGTATTTGGATGGCGCCAAATGCAAACCGAAAGTGAACCGCGTATTTGATGCAAAGCATTTGATGTGTTACACTTCCGATGAAAGCATGGGAGCTCTCTCTACGTTTGGAGGTCCAATGATTTCGAAAAAGAATAACAAACTCGTGGGCATGACCATAAATCGTTTACCTGATCAGTTAGTTATTTTTCAACCGATTGCACCGTTGCTTGATTGGATCCGGAAGCCAAGGGTAAAACGTAATCAAAGAAAAAGAATATCGGCCGGAAAAAAAGAGGTTTAGGCGCCTGAATACCGTCTCTTTTTTTGCCCCTGTCATTTGATATTCAACAAAAGAACCGAATAAATTCGATAATTTGTGAAAAACGCATTTTATTTTTCATTCGCCCATGCGCAGTTATGTGATTATCTGAAATAATTGCGATATATATTACAACGAGGTTTTAATACAAACTTTCCATGTAGATGGCCGCCACACAGGCAAAAATCGAGAAAAAAGTGTAAAAAAATGTGAAAACTATGATTTCGAATCATACAATCGACACCCATAGAACGAATGAACAACTTATGAGCTCTTTATCCATAAGTCAGACGGAATTTTTTTTTGAGAAAAAACCGACAAATAAAGCTGCGAGCAATGTGTCACTTTTGCTACTCAGCATTGAGCGGAAAAGACATTTTTGCATTTTTCTCGCTACTGAAAATGGATAACGATTAGGTGTCTTTGGCATTGTTGTAGAAAATAAAAAGAACTACAGATAAGTATAAACATAACAATATATTAATGATTCACAAAATTCAAAAAGGACTAATGAAAACTAAATACAATGTTAACAGCACAAGCAACCATACATATCTGATGAGTACACACACAAGGCCGCGTTCCGATAGAACTCGTACCACTCTTGGACTCAAAAGCATTTACCGTAATGGCACTGAGCTCAATTACGAACATTTGCCAACCAATTGCCTACTGAATATTCTCTTAACACGTTTAAAAAGCGACTCAAGGAAATAATTCTTATGTGATCGTTCGTGCAGTCATTTCTCTCCTAATTTATCATAACTAACACCTACTACGCGTGGACGAATTGCGATTAAGTGAGTGATCAATTAATCATTGGTGAAATGATTAAGTGATCAATTGATCGATTAATTGATCACTTGATCATTTGGCCCAATGATTAAGTGATTAATTGTCATGTTAATCCAGGGCATTTTTTCCCTATGTGCGAGGTCGTGCAGTGCATGAGAGCGCAAAGCATCTGAGGGCGTTAGCGTCCAAAGAGCGCAACAATTCGGGAGCCCACGAACAAGTTCGTTGTAGTAAAACACACAACAATAGCCTATTCATGACCTTCCAAAATATTGTGCTATTTGGACGCTTGCGCCCTATTTTATTTGTTTGCATATAGCGCTGGAACGCCTTTTCTGCTCGCTTGATTATGAAAATTTGCTGAAAAATTTTCTTTTCTACATGAGCGCCCGAGCACCTTGTGGATTCACAAATCGGTTTTTTTCGCCTCTCACAAATTTTTGAGGAAAACAATGAAAGTTATTGTTTAGTTTCCACTTTCCACATGAAAAATTGTGATATCACATTGTCAAAAAAATGTGGAAGCAGTTTTAGAATTCGATCACTGGTAACATCTACGAATGAATTTACAGTTTGACTTAATAGTCATAATAGCTTAGACCTTATCTTCGTTTTGACTTCAATTGAAATAGAATTGATTGTTTGCTAACTCGTTTTTTTCATGACCATAGATAGTCGTCGCGAAGGTTATTGCGAATAAGTTTATTTCGTAAAGCCATGCTACAAAATCACTTTTCAAAATTCGATATGGCAAACAAATTGACGAAAAATTACTATAAAAAACTCTACTAAAGACTTTGTATGCTCCTGATGAATCGAAGAACAATACATCATTTACAATAGTTGACACTTACATCCAATGTTTGAACAAGATCTCAATGTGAAACACGTCATTTTTTTTGTTGGAACGGAGATTTCTTGGATGAAACATTTGTCGACTATTATTAATAGTCATGGTCTCTACTCGTGCACGGATTAGATAACCAATACAAGTATTGGTTTTGATAAGGCATTTCTTTTTTAGATGTCGTATACCAGAGACTAAAATTTCGGGATCTTCTACCCGATTCGGGATCCTCTAAATCGAAAAGTGCTGCTCTTATTTGAAAATCGGGATGTTACTTTTTTATATGTGGAAATAAAATTTTGAAGTTGAGTCATTCTATTTCTTTATTTTCACAGTTCTCAACTTTATTTTCTCGATATTTTGCATTATACACAAGCAACAAAAACTCAATTCGCCTTAAAGGTATCAGTTTTTGTTTATATTTTGAATAAGTAATCATTCGGATGCAAGAAAACTGACCGCCGATTTGTAATGTAATGTGTTTATTAGAAGTGAAAGTTTTTGTTTATATCACCAAGGGGGAAAGTACTAGATTTGTATAATTCAAATAATGCAATCTAGTACAAAAATAATCCCAAATAATCCTTCGGAATTCTCAATAATGCTCATATATATGGATTATTTTTATAGAGTTTAGTGCTTAGGGCAAAAATCAATTATTTTATTTCAATTTCTCAAAAAAAAAATCTATTTTTTTGCACTTAGATTATCAAATGTATGATGCAGAGGGGAGCAACTTCATTCGGCAATTACGAGTGGTGTCATTTGTAATGATTGGTTGATAATATAGCGAATCTGTTCCTAGTGAATAGAAGCATACAATAAAGTTATCACATTTAAAAAAAAAAAAAGAATCATATGCCAGCTATTAGGACTGAATGGCGAGTTTGTGCTCTTATCCATCGTGCATTTTTCCGAATATCCGTGTACACTACAATATGTTCTCCTTCATATTGATAAGTCAAACTTAATATACCCACGGCATGTCCTTCTTCAATAAGTGGAACACCTGAATAAAAATACCCATAACAGAGTATAAAAATACATACATGTATGGTTATAATTAGATTTTACCTGAGTCCCCGTCAGAGCTAGAAGCAGCTCCTCCTTCAATATGAATACAAATTACATTATTCTCATCGCAAGGTACAACTTCTGCACTAAGCATAGTGATTATGTGCTGGAAAGATTTCCAAGAATATCTACGCCTTCTATCAAGGCCAACAGCCGTTAACGTGTTCCCCGATTTAAAAAAATTCAAACCCAGATGCACAAATAAAGGGACTTCAACTGTAATGACACTTATATCATGTTGAGCATTCTTTTCACCGGGAATGTACTTGTAATGGGATTCTACATTATCTACGGTTATTGTTTCAGTCTTGCCATTTGTAAATTCTATGGTGGCTTTTTCGAAATCCTCAAAGCAATGTGCTGAAGATAAAATCTGAAAAAATCGTTTTCATTATTTTATAAATATAAGGAAGACAGTCGATTATTGTTTAATGCTTACGTAATTGCGCGAGATAACAAAGCAAGAGCATTTTTTCCCATGATATCGCCAAGTTTCGTCTAAAAAATAACAAAAATTGTCATTATTAATAAGTTATTGATTTATTAGTAGTATTAAAACGTTGGCAAATGAGTGAAAATAGTTATGTTCAAAATGAAAACGGATATATTCATAGTGAAAACATTTTTGACCAGCAAAAAAATACCGAAAATGAAAATATTGCTGCGCCTGAGAATGAACAAAATGCAAACTCGGTTAAAGCAACGTCATACATTTGCGAATTGCGAGTGCTTCCAAAATTTATATATAGATTTTCTTACCAATTTTTATATTCACATAATACCTTGTACATGTTGGATTCGATTACAGTAAAACCTGTCAATAACGGAACCTGGGAATAGTGGAAATCGTGTCAATAGTGGACAAAAAATTTGGCCGTTGAGCTCTCCCATACAAATTGACCTGTTAATAACGGAAAACCGAAACTCCGAATAGTGGAAAAAATTTCTTGACGAAATTTTTTTTCGTCTTTTTTCCGTGTCTTTTTTATTTAAAACTATATTTTTTCCTTTATCAAAACCAATGATCATCATAAAAATCCTGCAATACAATGTACATTACATTGATTTCAGTATCATGTTTTACTTTCGTCTGCCAAAATCATTGCTTATTTCATGCAAATACATTTTTGATGCTCCCAATAAAACACATCCACTCGATTGGCGCGTGCAATTCAGTATATTTACAGTAAGTTTGAAAATCATTTATTCGTTTGATGAAATGCAGAATTTATCGCTGCCAATTTGGTAGTGAAAGAAATGAGTATCATTTACTTTCTCATTTTGAGTCACAGTTTAGACTGCTTGATTGTTCTAAATAATAATGTTTCTCATTCACTGTTTTTTTTTTTTTCATTTTTCGTTCTTTCCTTCATTCATTTATTAAAAAATACTTTTATTTCAGTATTTCTTTCTCACCTTTGTTATATCACTTGATTTGATCATTAAATACCCATAAAAATGTATGCTTCGGTTTTTTTTGTTTCTTTTTACCCTCAATAATGGAAAATCATGTTTGGTTCGACTCAAAAATCTGTCAATAACGGAACCTTTGAATAGTGGAATTCGTGTCAATAGTGGAAAAAAAAATTCCCCATGGGATTCCGTTATTGACAGGTTTTACTGTATTAGGATATTTCATCCCTAAAATAGGCTCCGGCATCTCCGTTGACACCGGTGCGATGGAATATGTGCACGGCACACATTCCATCTCTAAACGCGGCGAAACCAAAACACAGTAGCCTGGACTACATGAAAAAAAATATATTTTCTTGATTTCCAGACACTTTGAAGACAAAAATCAAGGCGAGAATAAAGATGAATCCTCTGGACATCATTTTGGAATAAAAATTTTACAAACTAAAATGATTGCAAGAAATTGACTATTTATATTCGAATTTATTCAGATAATTAAACACAGCTACATAGTTCCAATACATTTATATTAGCTTTAAAACTATCATTATTGACCTGGAATGAAAGTCATCAAATCTATACACTAAAGCAAAATAGTTCACTGAGTGTTCGTAACAAATGTACACATCAGCATTTGTGCAATGACGTATTTGTGCAAAATGCATAAAAAAAAACCACTCAAGTTCATTGTCACTATAAATGTGCACGTGCAACTGATAGTGCAGAATAAGCTTGCTGATGGGAACTGATAAGCTTGCTCGTGTAGTGACTGCATACGCGTTTATTCGGAACTTTGATAACATTTAAGTTTGACGAACTTTGTTTGCGATAATTTTCATTTTGAAGGTTAATAACAACAGGCCAGATAAACTGAAGGAATATGTGTGCTCTTTCTTGTTACCTATGTTCTTGTGTG